CATTGATGATCTTATGGGTTCAATTCATGTTGAAGCCATAACTAGACGACAGGCTAGAGATAATGCCGACTTAAATGTCGTGCAATGGAGTCAAGAAGCTCCTAGTGATGACCTGATTACTAGTCAAAAGAATGATCCCGTCATAGGCATATTCTATAAACATATAGAAGACCCTACTGCCAATCCCATCACAGATGAGGATTGCAAAGATAATGAAGATTTACGAATCTTGATGAGATATAAAGTCCAATTTAGTATCATGGATGGGTTACTGGTCAGAACTTCTAAACATGGTATACAACAATGGGTAGTCCCAACTGTATACAGAGGGTTAATGCTCCAACACGCACATGATGCACCTACATCTGGGCATCGTGGTGATAAGATCACATATGAGATATTGCGTGATTATGCATATTGGCCACACATGTTAAGGGATGTTAAGACATACTGTCAGGGATGCTTGATTTGTCCGCAATATCAACCCCATGGTCCAACCCATCGTGCACCACTTCAGAAGAGGGGGGTGTCATTACCCTGGTCTGATATTCAAATTGACTTTATAGGTCCTGTAACAAGATCTTCAAGAGGTAACAAATACATGTTAACCGTTACATGTATGTACACAAAGTGGATAGAATGTTTGCCTTGTAAAGAGAACACGAGTACCGTGTGCGCCACTTTGTTGATTAACCATGTCTTTTCCAGGTTCGGTCTGCCTCAAAGAATTGAGTCAGACAGAGGTAGTCATTTTACCAGCGAAGTAATGGCTAAGATGTGGAACATTCTAGGTGTTAAACGAAAGCTACATATTGCATACCGCGCTGCGTCTAGCGGGGGGGTAGAGCGATATAACCAGTCTATCGTTAATATTCTGAAGAAGTATGTTAAGGAGTCTGGTAAAGACTGGGACATTAAATTGCCCCTAGTTTTAATGGCGATTAGAGCTACACCTAGCACTGCTACCAAATTGTCACCTTTTGAATTGATGACAGGAAGAAAGATGGTTTTACCACAGCATTTACTATATCGTACTTCAGATCATAACTTGATCAATGCTGCCACTACGCATCAGTATATCGAAGATTTGCGCAAGCATTTACAGCATGCGTTTGCTTTTGCCCAAAAGAATCTAGAAAAAGCAGCGACAGGGGTTAAGACCTATTACGATTTAAAAACCACGAAAAAGGAATATGAGATAACTGATCAAGTCTATCTGTATAACTTTGCGCGAAACCAAGTCAAGGAAAAGAAATTTTTACCTTCTTGGAAAGGGCCATATGTCATCATTGACAAAATTTCCCCAGTAGCGTATAAGATAAAAATTCCTAAGGATGGTGATTTTATTGAAAAGTGGGTTCACATTAACCAGTTGCGTGCTTGTCATCCTAAATCTCAATTAAGGATTATAGGTGTGGATTCAGACGCAGAAGGGTGAACGACTAACCTGGATGAATGCTTGATTCACGTGGTATAGTATGATGTGAAATGTTGTGATGTGCCATGATCTCATGTACGTTCATGTCATTAACCATTTCCTTGCCATCCAATAACTACATTTTATAAGCAGGTTACTAGCTTGTTTAACTGCTATAGGCAAATTGCTGAAGAGTCAGTAATAAATGTAGTGAGAGATGAAGTTATAAAAATAGAATTAGACAGAATACATATGTTGATGAATCGTAATAATGTGTTGTCCTAGGCCAAGTGATGTCACACTGTTATAAGTTTGTATGCTTAACAAACCTTGAATCATTAGTAGATAAGTCTGAAACGAGTTCCTGATCCGTGACTGTCGAAAGATGTCCAAGAAGGATGTGGCGTGTTTCTGGATCGTACTGCTCCTGTGCCAAGAGCTACGGACCGACCCGATCGCAGAGATGGGACCATCCTCCGGCATCCTGATTCAAGAGACACCAGGGTTCATCTTGACAGAGAAGAGGATCCTGACCAGACGTGTGTTCATCAGCTTGGACCCCAAGATTTCCATCGAGAAGGCATACAACATTTCATCGATGCAGCTTCCTGAGTTACAGACTTGGTACCAGATGCACCTCCAAAGAGCACAGGACCGTGTGCGAAACATCTTGGAGCAAGCCCGGAAACCATTTGTATCCAGTTCTATTCCGATGAGCAACCGACCCAAAAGGTTCCTCACCGCTATAATTGTTGCATTAGTTTGTGCCACTGTCGGTGCAGTTGTCGCAACTGGAATGTCTGCAGCCAACTCTATTACTGTCCAAAAGCTGGATATGGAAATCTATGCGCTAAAGCAACACATTAACGATATTCATCAGGTGATACAACAGCAAAGAACACTTCTCCAAGACATGTTAACTATTGTGGAAGACACAGTTGTTACAACAAATTTGCATTCGGAGTTAATTGCCAAATCCACTGAGCTGCACCAAAGTCATGACTTATTTAAGCGTGAACTTTTATTTCTGCATGACCCAATATTGTTCCACACACTTGCTTTTCTCGACGAAGTGCAAACTGGAATGATCGAATTGGCAGGGGGATGCATACCTCTGTATTTTGTATCCAAGGATATTGTTCATGCGATGCTTGCCAATGTGGATGGAGAGACAATTGAGCCTATGCAATTAAATGTATGGAGATTTGCTTTTTATTGACCATACCATATGTAACTCTCAGAGACATTTTTCAAATGAAAATAATGTTTTATGTTAGAAATGATGTGATTGCACAATATGTCTGATAACTTCTATAGTGCTTATTCATAAGCTAAATTAATTTTGGCTATGAAATGCACTAAAGGGGGGTTATGTCAGAGTATTTATATCGGCAGACATTTTGTGCTATGATAGAAACTAAAAGTGTATATTCTGAGTCACTCTGAACAGATCAGACTCCATTTTGTTATTCCAAGTTAACAAAAATAAAGAGACACTAGATTTCTTTCTATAAGACTGGCCTCTTTGCCAGAGCTAAGGTATGCATAGTATAAACAAGTGATAAGGAAGGGGGTTGGACAGACTGTCTAATGCTAATGGAATATAATCAAATCTAAACCCAGACAATTGTGACAGAGAAGATTAAATAATAAAATTTAACTGTCTATATATATATAAGGTACCATTGTATGGAAAAGGGTAAACTTAGTTCATGATCTGTCATATCAGAAATTATGGCAGGAATTGCAGACGCTAAGTCTGGACAAAATTTAAGAAACCCTTTGAAATTTTAAATTATGGCGCTATAAAGATAACGCAAAATGACGTCAAAATAGCCACCAGGAAAAGTTAACTCTTTCCTGGATAGGTATGTTTAGTGGGACAAGACTGCCCTCTACAGACCAAATAACTAATTTGCGATCTGGAAGATAACCAGACCTCTAGTGCTTCTATTGGGTTATCAACTGATGACGTACAGAGAGTCTGGCCCTTTAAAAGTTAAGACAAAGGGAAGACAAGAAAGATACGAGAGGAGGCACATGCAAGATATGCAACGGAGAGGAGAGAGGAATTGGAAGTTTGGGGATTCCAACTCGGACAACATCTGAGAATAACACTCTACTCCTAAAACTCTAACACTTAGAATTTACTGACTTTCTAACCAACACCTCCATGCAGAGAGACTACCAATCGGATGAAATATCTACTCAACTGGTAATTATACTGGTTTCATTTAATTAAATTAAATTAATTAAAATGTACTAATAGCATTATATATGACTGGATAAAGCACGGTCAGATTTCCATATTAAGAAATCTTAGTTAACTAAGAATATATAGTTATAAACATTCCATTCTGCAGGTGGAATTAAGAATAATTATATATTGATGTGATATTATCACGTGTTAGCATACCGCTGTTTTTATCCAGGTGTATTGATTTGCTCTAAATTAAGATAGATATCTTTTAGACAAATTAAAAATCTGCTTATAAAACATATTAGACTCTATTATTGGATGGTTTAAGAAAATGACTAGTGAACTGGTTTAAATGTTATTTTATTTAAAAATACATAAGAGTAGATCTTAACTACCTAGGAGATCTAGCCAGCATTGAAAGGGTTATTCTAACTGTCTGCTAAACTTTACGACCTTACGCTGCACTCTGAGGAATTCTGTTCTTCTGTGAAAAGTTTAACTTTCAGTCCGTGTAAGCATAGTCATAAATTATAAAGTCTTGACAGAAAATGCCGTTTAGCCATTGAAACGTAATACCCATTCCTTTGTATTGCATACCATTTTATACTGGATATTCATTGATTACTGTCATGCATGTTACATAATATTATTTGTTAATTATTGATTATCATAAATAAAATCTATTTTTATACATTGTGATTATTTATATGAAATACTTTTCACTTAACACGATAAACGTTCTTTGGGATCTGAGAATTGAAATAGTGGGCAATTCTTAACTGTTACTATTATTATCCCATAAATATCCCCACAATTTGAACCTTTTTAAATCAATATTAAATTCTGATGGTTGAGGCACCCCCAATTGAAATTAGATTTTAGCCTGATACACATATAAAGTGTCCCTAGATGACAGAGAGGAAATGTAATCACTCTACTCTTAATCAGTTAAAAATGAAGGAGAAAAAAATTACAATTCACTTATGCAATACATGATGTAATCTTATTTAAAACAACTAGGGAGCATCATACCTTTTCTACAAATATATAAAAGTACTCTTAAGCACAAATGACATCATGTATGAAAACAAAACTAACTGCAATAAAGTGGTGAATTTTGGAACACACATTTTAAGTTTGCTTATCATTATCTAGATTATTCTGCAATGTCTAACTACACAATCTATATAATGTTATATTTATTTATCTAGTAATTATATATGTCCTGGCCAGAACTTACAGCTAAAATATTCAGTGATGCAGTGGTAGTGATACGCATAGAAGATTGTAAGCTCATAAAGCAGTTTAAAATTGTTATTCTACATGGGATCTAGTTCTTGAGACAACTGACACTTAATATCTGCATTACTAAACAGTTCCCTTTTATCCAGTTCTGCATTTTCCACGGCGGTTCTGCTGCTGAAAACGTCTCAATTTGTGTGCCCAAACATCTCGCCATGGGAGTGCCAGACTATTCTTATCCAAAATTAAACGAGCTGGATCAGGTGACTCTTCATCATTACCAATAATTAAGTAGGACTTTCCAACTTGCATTCTTAGGCAGTCACATGCTAAGTCCTGATCTGGTACCCAAAGAGGCTGGTCACCACGGCGAATGGGCACCCTCCTCTGTCTGTATACAGTCAGCACTGTGGCTGTGAATTGCCACCACTCTCCAGACTGTTCCATTGACAACAGTTGAGCACGAAGAACTGTAGGATATAAATTAAAAAAAAAAAAAGACATACATTGTTAGCATAAGTTAATAAGGCAATGGCCCTTTACATTTATTTAAATCATTATGATTTGATAGGCTGGCTTAACTGTTGCAGCCAATCAGAATTGCACCTTATCTGAGATTTCTAGAAATCCTTATAAATGAAAAGTTAGAAATCTTTCTAATTGATTTTAAGGGAGTATGTAGATATCATCTTTATCATATCATATTTTTAAATTTTTTTCAATTGTTTTTTATTTTAAAGGGTGTCAAATTCCGAGTTCAGAGCAAAAGTTTTCAGGCACATCTATTGACAACATTGAATTAAGTGAGTGATATTATGAAATACAGTGCGGTATAAGTGACAGAGACCTGCACCTATAAGTGGAGTGCTCAAACGGATATAAAGCTTACCAAGCGTAACTTGATTCAATAGTATGGTGTGAACTACATGCCAAAAAGTATAAAGAACAAAAGATAGAATATATTACAGATGGTATTTTAAAACTGCAGACAGAACACTCACATTTTAAGGAGCCTGTGTGTAAAAACTGGCTCTGTACTTAGGCTTGTGTGCTTATTTTGGTAGCACCACCCTTCCGCTTCGGCTTGGAGTAGTTCTCATAGATAAAACATAAAAGGAGAACAAACCAATGTGCAGACTGTAGCAATAAAGAAAACGGGTGTAGAATAGTAAATGTGGTGCTCACCTGGTCCTGAGCCTATAGGTCCCGGCGCTAAGGTGTTTAGGTATGATGCCAATTTAAATAGGGATGGAACTGCCCGTATGGAGATTCCTAGAGGCTCCTGACTTGAGCAGGATATCTTGAGTAAAATAACAAATGTATTGATATACAATAGCAAATAAAAATAAAAAAGTTTAAAAAGTCCTTTGGAATAGTCCTTTAAAATGGCCAATACGCGTTTCACTCTCAGAGCTTCCTCAGTCAGCTGTAATGATGGTCCTCTGAATCTTCCATTTTTAATGTCCTTTAGTCCTTCCCCTTTAGTGATCTAAATACAGTTTGTCCAATCACAGTGATGCATAGTTATTTCATGTGTGTAACTGTGTGCATACTTTCAATTGGCTGAATTTTCAGTGCTTTTATTTACTTAAATTTTCATTGGTGGACAGTGGTGGTTGGCAGAAGTACTGGGAGCTCACCGGGGCGGTTGGCGGAAGTGACATCATGGACCGAAGAGACTCCCAGACACTCCGACCCTGCTACACACCTCTCATGCGTCCGGGCCGGAGGGAGGGGACTCTACTGGGTGGGAGGAGATTCATCCCTGAGAGGATGATGTGTAGGCACATCGGCTCATCCCGCCCTTCGGGCGTGCCGATGTGCTCACGGACTCCTCCCTCCAACACAACACGGCAATGGAAGGGAGTGTAAACATGAATAGATAAATAATGGGCAGGGGAAAAAATGTAGGGGGAGAGAAAAAAAAGGACATAAGATAATTATAATTAGTACTTATATTTGCCTATGTAAGAAAATTTAATGTGATATCCTTAATGTATATCTATATCAACTGACTTATTGTACATAAAGTGCATAAGGTATAGTGCTTATTTAGAGAAATATGAAAGAGGTTATATTAAGTGCTAAATTTAGATTGGTATGTACAGAGATGGGTATCCTTATGGATATATTTTGGTGTATCCAATAGAATATTAAATGCATGTTAATAAAATATTATCAAAGTAATATTCTCAATAAATTATTCAACAACAAATTTGGAATTTAATACATATTGGGATGGGGATTAAACAAAAGTGTTCAAGAATAGCATGTGTAAAATGTTTATTTAAAATATGTTTATTTAAAATGAGCCCCTAAAAAGAATTGTGAAAAGATGTCCAGATAAAAATAACTGGTGAAAGATGAATTCAAATAAAATGGCAAAGTTCAAAGACTATATTCAAACCCCAGGATTTTAAAGTCCCGAGGTTGAATATCCACCTCATCTCGGTCTGTCCCAAATGTTTGTTAGTGTCCCCTCCTCGCCAATTTCCCTTAACCTTATGTATGCCAGTGAATTTCAGCCCTCTTGGCTTGCTATTGTGTTTAAGTGCAAAGTGGTGTGATAACACTATGTCCTTCAAATTTTCTCCTGATGTTTCTGATATGTTCTTCAATCCTTATGTGTAGGTTACGTTTAGTGCGTCCCACATATTTTAAGCCACAGGGGCATTCCAATAAGTATATTACATTGCTCGAGTGGCAAGTAAAAAGTTCTTTAATTGGGAATTCTTCATTGTTATTGAAATTCTTAAACCTCTTAATGTGTCTCCTTTTTATCGTTTGTGTTTCTGCATGCCACGCATGTAACGCATCCATAAAAACCTTTTCCTTTGTCTAAGAAAGTAGTGGCCCTTGTTTTCTTAATATGTTTTTTTCCAGTAATCTATTTAGATTGGCAGCCCTTCTAAAGACTATTTTAGGTTTTTCTGGTAGGATTTGAGACAGAGCATGGTCTTGTAGTATGGTGGGCCAGTGTTTATTTAGAATTTTTCTTAATGCCCTGTTATTGTGGCTGTAGTTACATATAATAGGTAGATTGACTTCACCTTCATTTTTTGTTCTATTTTTTCTTGTAACAGAGTGTTTTGTTGTATTGTTGAGACTTGTGCGTAGGTGTCTTTTATTATTCCTTTTTATAGCCCTTATCTAATAGGTCAGTGATTAATTTGTCCGCTTGTTCCTTAAAAGTTTCCTCGTCCGTGCAATTTCTCTTAATTCGAATGAGTTGTGACTTGGGTACACTGTTTTCAAAACAACAGCACATGGAGAGATAAAATAATATAAGAACAGCCAGGTGCAAACCATATAAACACTCCCTCAAGTGCTTTAAATATTCAAATGTATATAGAATGCACACTATAACAATCTCAAAAAAACTTAGCTTTATTATGTACAAAAAAGTACCAGAGTGAAAACACAGGTACCCTTGATAAAGGCAGCCAGTTGGTGCAGAAATGTTGGGGGGGGGGTTTGGTGACTCGTGTTTCTGTCTTGAGGCTTGTAAGAATTTTTGTGGTAATTTATTATTATTTTATTGTATTTGCCCTTGCTTCTGTCACTTTGTTTATTTTTTCTTATATGTTTTCACTCTGGTACTTTTTTGTACATAATAAAGCTAAGTTTTCTTGAGATTGTTATAGTGTGCATTCTATATTCTATATACATTAGGGTACACTATTTAACCATGGGGAGAAATGGCAACTAGAGGTATGGATAAAACTATTGACATCCACATCTTTAAAATGTGTTTTAGTTTTCACCCTTTCATCATCTATAAAAATAAAGATCTAAAAATGTGACTGTGTGTTTACTAAAATTAGTAGTTAATATAATGCCCCATTCATTATTATTAAGCTGGCTTAAAAAAAGTATGTAATGTGTTCTCTGTGCCTTACCAAATAAAAAATAGGTAATCTATGTAACGTCAATAGGTCACCAGGCCCTCCACCCAGCCATCGTTAAGTTGTAGGTAATGGCGTTCCCAATCTACCATAAACAGATTGGCGTAGCTGGGTGCAAACCTGGTGCCCATCGCCGTCCTACACGCCTGCAGGTAAAAAGTATCGTAGTACCAAAAATAATTACTGGTTAAAATTAATTGTATTGCTTCCATGATAAAATCAATTTGGTCTAGTTCAAACGAATGGGATTGCTCCAAAAAGAGTCTCACTGCTGTGCAGCCCTACTGATGTGTGATAATGGTATACAGAGAGTTCACATCTGTGTTAACAAATAGTAATCTTTTTCCCATTTAACTGTTTGCAAGTGTCTCAGAATGCTTCCTGTATTCTTTAGATAACTGGGAATATATTGTACTATGGGCTGCAGGCATTTGCCCACATATTCTGAGAGTCTGCATGATATGGAATTTAGGCCCAAAACTATAGGTCTTCCGGGTGGAAGCTCTGGGTTTTTATGGACCTTGGGGAGGTAATAGAATACGGGAATTTTTGGATGTGTCACATTTAAGTATTCAAACTAGAATGACTATTCTCGCTCCCTTGTCCGTCAGTTTAATTACGATACCATTATCCTTAGAGCCTTATATTCATCTTGTTTCAAATTTTGTTGGTAATGATTAGCTTTTTTTAGTTTATTAATGTCTGCCATCACCATTTTTTCGTAAGTGGCCATTTCCCCTGAAATTAAAAGTTTTGGGAAAAAAGGTGGATTGTTCCTTGAATGTAGTGTGTGTTTTTCTCTGTTATGATCAAATTATTTATTATTGGGCTTTTTTGAAAAAACAAATTTTAGACATAAACTGCGTTTGAACTTGTTCAAATCTACGTACGTATCAAATTTATTCAAATCTCTTGTGGGCGCAAATTTCAAACCCTTTTGTAGTAGTTTGATTTGTGCGCAGTTTAATTTGGTGGAAGTAAGGTTAAAGATTCCTGTTTCCTCTAATTTCTTTTTGAGTCTTTAGGGGTTGCGTCTGTCTCTCTTTTCTCCTCTGTACGTCCACTCTTCCTCTAGTTCCCCTTCCTCCATACTCCTTTTGTTTGGTGACTTTTAGCGTGAGAGGAATTTGTGTTTTTCTTTGTTCTTCAAACTCCAAAAATCCTCCTCCCTTGAGGTTCTTGTAAGGGGTTTGAATTTGTTGTTAGTGGAAATGTCAGATATTCTCCTAGGGTTATGTCTAAATTTAGGAATTTAGGAATTAATCTGATTTGGCTCTTTTTTCCATCTGGATAGGGGTCCTCATATTTGGTGTACAAGGTCTGGGGTGGGGTCTTATGAGTGGCTTGGGTTCTGTTTTTTCACTAGGTTTCCTCTTGTAATGGTCCCTTTGTGGGCTTTCCCTTTGTTTGTGGTGTCTACGTATGGGACGTGAATTATTAGAGTTATACTTATGTTGGTCATATCTATTTTGGTCATTGTGTCTATGTCACATCCTGTTCCAAGCTGTGGATAAGTCTGGTGATGGCTTCTGGTATCCAGTACTCTTTTTACAATTCTTGTTTAGTTTTTCTTGTTTTTTCTGGTTTTCTATTCCATGTCTGGTTTACTTTATGCTGGGTTTTTCTGGGTTCATTCCTGTATTCCGTCCCGGAAATTCCCAGTCTCCAGGGTTCCTTTAAATGTTTGTTTTATGTTGCCACACCCGTTCCTTTTCCATGATTACTTTTGTTTCAGTTTGAGCCTGCAGGCAGTTGCTGAAGCCTTCTGTCCTTTCTTGCAGGTAAGTGCTATATGTGTTTCTTATGGTTCTTTTAGCATACATTAGGCAGAGTAGGACCTGCCAGATATGGGGACATTGGCGTTGTTGGCAGGCTTATGCAATGTATGATCATATAATGTAACTAAATCCCCATGATTTTCATATATAGTACTTAGTTATTTCTCCTCTTGGTTTGCCTATCATTTCGTGTCTTGTTTTAGTTTGTATTCCCAGTCCATGTACAGACCTGTCCAGTCCTGTACATGTTATGTCAATGTTTCCCTTATGTATTGTGTACATGTTCTGGGTTTAGCTTCCTATCCTTTTCTGGTTCTGGGTTCTATTAGTTCTGTCTTGTATTTCATGTTTGGTGCCTTTTCTAGTCTTTCCTTGTTTCTGTACTGGATACATTTTTGCTGCAGAGCCTCCCTATTCAGCTCCTGGGAGGTCTGCTTATTTCCTAGCTTAAGCTGCATCAGGGTTCTGGTATGTGGCTGCACAAATGCTGGTGCTCAACACCAGGGGGCGTGCGGTTACCGTGCACCAGACCCTGCTAATCCACCTCCACGCTGTAACTCCTACTTTGAACATCAGGTATACTGGGTCCTGGTCCTCGCACCACTGCCCGGACAGTGTCTGGGTCCCGGGCACCGGACCGCCACCCTGACAGTCTATTGTTTTTACCAAACGTTCTAACTTCATTGCGTCTGTAATCGTTTTTGTCTCACATGTACTTTTTCTTTTTTATTTGTATTTTCTCCTGTTCCACTTTATCTGTAACATATTGATTTTTTTCTGTGATTTTCTTGTATTCTTCTATGTTAGTGTGGATAATAAGGAAATTTTGTTCCTTATTTATTTCTGTGTCTAGTTTATCTAATGTGAGTTTTCTTTTTGCTATGATCTTTTGCATCATAGTAAAAGAGAAGGATACCACACTGTATTTCATATTACTGTTTAATGGAAAAGAGGATATGTGTATAGAGCTGCTTTTCAACCATTTTTATTCATGTTTAAGCACTTTTTGTTACACACATCCCTCCGTGAAAGGGGGTAACTTTGAATTGGTATTCATAAGTGAGTGATATTGTTTTTTTTTTTGTAGGTGTATGGCATGCTGTAGTAGGATCACAGCCCCTATAATGTTTAGTCAGCCTTCAAGCTGACTGAATATCATGGGAGTTCTAGTTCTATTACTGCTATCCAGGGGTGGATCCAGAGCCTGATCTCGGGATGGGCACTTGTAGATTATGTAAAGAAATAATCCAGGCACAATAACTCTGTGTAGTGGTTATGGTGCCAGGAGTGCCGGGAGCCACTCCCAGAGTAAGTAGTCAAATGTTTAAGAACAGTTTGACAACTTACCTGGGGTCTGCTGGGATATGGGCTGTAGTAGAGCAAAGGAGCAGTGGTGTGTGTGAGGGTTGCAGTGTGTGTGTGTGCGCGTGTATGTGTGTAGGTTGCAGTGTATGTCAGGGGTGCAGTGTGTGTGTGAGGGGTGCAGTGTATGTGTGGGGAGAGCAGTGTGTGTGTGTGTGTATGTGTATGTGTTTGGGGCAATGTTTGTATGGGGGCAGTGTATGTGTGTATGGGGAGGCAGTGTGTGTAGGGCAATCAGTGTATGTGTGTGTGTGTGTATGGCAATGTGTGTATGAGGGGGGCAAGGTTTGTATGGGGGGCAGTGTATGTGTATATGGGGGGCAATGTATGTTTGTGGGGGGGCAATATGTATGTGACAGACCATCTGTCCCTGATTTTTGTAACTGGAAAAAACTGTTCATTTAAACCATTCGTCTAAAATTAATGGACCTGTTATTATGCTAAGATCCTTATGTATCACAAATTTTCTCCCGAACGACATACCACCCAGAACAGGAGTGTGGCACCCATTAAAGGACCACTATAGGCACCCAGACCACTTCAGCTTAATGAAGTGGTCTGGGTGCCAGGTCCATCTAGGATTAACCCTTTTTTCTGTAAACATAGCAGTTTCACAGAAACTGCTATGTTTACCTATGAGTTAATCCAGCCTCTAGTGGCTGTCTCATTGATTTTCACAGTGAGAAGACTTTCCTATGGACTGGCTGAATGCGCGCGCGGCTCTTGCTGCGCATGCTCATTCAGCCGGTGACGGAAGAAGAGGGAGGAGAGAAGGATGAGAGTCCCCCGCCTGGTGCTGGAGAAAGAGGGACCCTGAGGGTATGTTTTCTTGGCACTATAGTGGTCCTTTAACCTCCCTGACCCGATAAACACCCCTAAAACTCAACGTTCTATTTGATCAGCAGGGTGGTCGACGTTCATCTGTACGAACACGTGGCGACGGCCATTTTGTTTAGCCAAACACGCTCAGTGATGTTTGGTCGTTGAACTTTCCATGAACACCACTGAAACTTCTACTTTCCGTGCGTTCAGCTAAAACCATACGAACGGAGCGCTATTTCTGGAGCTTAAACTCACAAACAGGACGCATCCAATGACAGTAGGCACAAACGAATCCGTTCGTGCAATTGGTACTTTATTTGAAGGGAAAGATAAGGGAGATAGACCGACCGCACAGCCTAAATCTGTAGAATTGCTTTGGGCATGAAAATGTGCCTGCGATCGGTCAAATAAGACTTGCAGCTAACTCCCGAACCACTGGACCAATTCGTCTGAATTTTGGATATGTTTGTTCCCTGATTATGCTGGTTTAGAAAATGTAACTATGTAACTTTATTGGAATCGCACATATAGTTTTAAAGTTATAAAAATTGTGTAAAAAAGTATATTTTTTGCTTGGAGATAATGGAGTTGATACAGCAATTAACTAAATTATCTCCCAAGCAGAGGAAAGGAATTTACAGTAATGAATGGGAGTGTGTAACTGTGATTGTACGCTATTGGTTGTTAAGGTTGTATTTTCAGTGCCCAGCAAGGTCCACCTGGGTGGTAACCTTGTGGGAAAACGAAAGGCTTGTCTGCTAATTAAAACGGTTCTACTTCATCCTCAATTTAGAGTCTTATCTCTTATTGTGGTAAACTGCTATACAGCTATAACACTAGCTCCTTTAAGAGCTTTTCAACTTGGATGACTGCTGAGTGCTGAGAATAGCCCTCACTTATCGGGAGAAGGACATCCTCTAGCAGTGGGAGCCCCTCTACTCACCGGGAGAACCGCTACAGTGTGTATGCGTGGGGCAGTGTATGTGTGTGGGGCAATGTGTGTATGGGGGGCACTGTCTGTATACAGGGATGTAGTGGGAGCAGTTTATGTGTGTGTGTGTGGGGGCAATGTGTTTATGTGGGGCAGTGTGTGTATAAGGGTAGTGTGTGTGGAAATGTGTGTATGGGGGCAGTGTATGTGGGTGTGGGGAAATGTGTGGGTGGGGGGGCAGTGTATGTGTGTATGGGGGGCAATGTGTGTGTATGGGGGTCAGTGTGTGAATGTGTAGTGTGTGTGTGGGGTAATGTGTGTATAGGGGGCAGTGTGTGAATGTGTAGGGTGTGTGTGGGGTAATGTGTGTATGGGGGCAGTGTGTGAATGTGTAGGGCAATGTGTGTATGGGGGCAGTGTGTGTGTGTGTGTGTGTGTGTGTATATGGGGGGCAGTGTGTGAATGTGTAGGGTGTGTGGGGCAGTGTGTGAATGTGTGGTGAGGAGGGCAGGGAGACTTTTTTTTATAATATATATTTTTTTTAATTTAATAAAAAGAAATATACTTTATGTCCCCCTCCCATCTTACCTTTACTGAGGGAGCTAGATTCCCTGGTGGTCCGGTGGGGAGTTCCTGGTGGTCGCCGTGGTGAAAGTGAACACTAGTCCACAGCTCCAGGTCACTCTCACGAGATCCGGAGCCCTAGCCCTGCAATGGCCGCCAAGGGAGAGCCTCGGGGATCCGCCAGTGCTGCTATCATTTACCATATGATTAACCTATTCTAAAGTTTATAGAAGACACATTTATATTCATGTATAGGGCTAAGTAGAGCAGACAAGAGAAGTCCCAGGTGGGCTGGGCATCTCATGTGGCTCCACTGGGCTCCATATTGGGGGGTAGCTATCCTGGGGCACTGGGAATCACCCAGTATGGTGATTTATTGCATATTTATGTCACATGACCAGGGTTTGTGAATTTCAGGCATATTTTTGGAGTCTGTAATTATTTTCTACTGCATTGTGGTCTATTATACCCTGCTATCTTAGAAATGAGTTGTAGGAAATGGGTTTGAAATAAATGGTGCCACTGAATATTCAACAAAATATTAGCATCTGTGCAACTGTGAAAAATAAGTCAGCAACCTATTATTTCTTCCTGTAAAACTTTTTATATACATGCTGTGAGAAAAGTGTGCTGCTTTTCTTATATGTATAAAAACAGCCTTTAACAACACAAAAATCAGATTTGAATGCAAACATAAAATACAAGAATTTCAGAAGAAATGCCATAGTAGATGGTGAGATGCAACAAGTCTTAAAATATCTTATGCTTTTCCAGATATATTTATTTATAATAATAATAATAATAATAATAATAACAACTAGTATTGATATAGTGCCTTTCTCCCAGTGGTACTCAAAGCTCTTTTCTGCGCTCGCTCTCGGAATTAACCAAATCAACAGCTGAATAGTAATGAATGTTGTTTACATGGAGATGAGTTCCATTCTGTTTGGTGTTTGATATTAATATATGTGTGCATTGAGTGTTTTAAGCTTTAGAATCTTTTCAGTAATAAAAACAATTGTGAAAAGTTTATTGTTGGTGCCCTAACATATACACACCTTGGGTGGTTGCACACACTTAACCTGTGCCCCCACGTCTTTACTTTCAGCAGTTGCCTGGTTGATCATCATTTGTTTGAAGACTGTTTAGTTTTATTAGTCATGACATAAAGACAATCAATCACAGATCTTTTCTTTCTGACTGATGCTGGAGGGCCCTCATTTCTTTCATTACAAATGCCTTGGCCTACTTTTTAATGCATTGCAGACCACCTGTTAACAAATGCATTAACACTTTTTCAGCCAGTGAGACATAAAACAGCCTGTGTAATAATATGTTTACCCATATAACAAAGAAAAGTTAAACTAAAACGATTTTGTATCGTTTATAAAAATATTTTTTTAAAGAAAAAATATTTGTACAATGTTATATGTTGGGAATCTACAAATGAAGGAATAATACGTTATACGTGTTTCAAATACGTGTTCCTCCATGGCAGAAGAAAGGATTACCAACCAGTGTAAATCTAGTTTTGCCTTTCCTCTTTTTTATCTTTACCCTCTTCTCTTTGAAATCATCAGGAGGAAATCGGCTTAACTAGATAATTCCTTTTGTGTTGTTCATAATCATTCTCCATACTCAGCAGGGCTTGGACTCAAATGTCTCGGTCATCTCTCATACTCACTTTGCTTTTCAGTGCACACTTTGCTTCCCACCCTATCATCCACATTTTACCAAAGCTGTGGCTTTAACTAATCCAATGAGATGATGACCCTTAAACATCTTATCCTAGCTGTGTTTGTGGGATCAAGAGAAAGCTGTGCTGGGATTACATTGACCCAAATGTAGAAGGCTAAATAAGAAAAGCTGAAGAATGTGGTTGTTCCAACTAATTAATGTATTTGCATCTAAAAAGTTTAGAAATCTCATAAGCCGGAGGCCCCATTCTTTAAGGTAAAGTGAAAAAGACTGTCTAGCTTTCATGCTAAATATTATCACAAGTTTGTATTGGTGTCTACATTTTAAAATTGATGTTTGAACTGAAGAAATGCATGGCCTGTTAATTTCTAGCCTTTACTTTAAAATTAACACCACTTCTGTAGGTCATTTACTTATGATAAAAATTAAAAGTAGGCACAGATATTACATTATGCAGGTATTTCGTAGATATAGTTTCTTTTTCTGCAGCTCATTTTGACTTTTGATTAGGATAAATTTACAATTCAATGCACCACCGACATAAAATAAATATTTTTCTTGCTTATTGTAAGAAAAGTTCAAAAGACTTGAAATGAAGATAAAAATTTACTGGTACTCCAGTAATGCAATAATATCAAATCATTGCTCATTTAGTAAACAGACCATGTTTGGACCATTTACTGTCCTTGACAAGTAGTAATCTGTCGGTGAACCCAAATAGCAGTAACTAATAAATATGTATTTGTGACAGATCCATCTGTATAGACTAAGATTGCTGTATTCGTCTGTTTTGCCTTTTCATGAATTTACCCATTCGTATGCCTTTGTTTAAGTGAATGGACTTTTCTTCCGAACGAAACTGCCGAACGGACGGCCACCCAGAAGAGAAGTGTGCTGCTGGTTAACCTATTGATCCCAATTAGAACGTTGCGGTTAACCACAGACACTTCTCAATTAAAACCGAATACAGGGTGGTCGTCGTTCGTATGTCGAGGCGGCGGCCATTTTAAACCATGCGAAAGACCAGCGATGTTCGGCATTGATTTCATGTAACTGAAAACGGACACTTATTCAACTGAACACCACTGAACCCATCGACCTCCCTTCTCAATCGACGGAAGTGTGCGAACACCGGCCATTCGGGAGGTTTAAAAGCACGAATGGACTTACCCCAGATAACCTTCCCATGGAGTCAATCGCATACCGAAGAACTGTAATAGACTTTGACTCCATAGCGATTGAACTATGCGTATGGGATCTGAGTGCTATTCGCCAATAATATGCACTCAGATCCAGGCTATCTGGGGATATGTGATACGAATGGGTAGCATTTGACAAATGTAAAGTTATATATCTTTATGTGTTTTTATGTGTTGAATGTAAAATGGCGATTTGCCTCTGTCCTGGAGATAATTGAATTACTTATCAATTATCTCCAGGGCAGAGGGGAGGAATTACTATTGCATGCTGGGAATATTTTGTGTCTGTGGGTTCTGAACTGCCATATGTCTATCTGTTGTCACAGTCTCCTATTTGTTCCCCTAGGGGAGTGTCCACCAAGTGGGAGACCTGCATAAATACGGGCAGGTAGCCCACAGTAAAGCCTGTTCTTGTTTTACCCTCAATGCGGAGCTTGGTCTCGTTATTGGGGGGATTTATTACCAACGACTAGAGACTGCAGGATGGGATTATTAGCCGCTTGGGAGATACCTGCGTTCGGCTGCTATTGGCGATTCGTGAGTTTGGAGCTTGTGAAGTGAAGTGCCCGTACGGACCCCGTTCGTGAGTTTACAGCATTCCATTGCTTGCGGTTCGTATGATTATACTGGGTACACATGCAGCCTGGGTTATTGCGAACGGGGAGCATTCGCTAAACGGCGGTTTGTACATTTCATGTTGAGGGTATCGTAACAGTATTAATATTGTGACAAACGCTCCTTCCCTCGTACGTTTGAAACAAACTCCTGGAGTAGTGTGGAAGCTGGCCCCCTGCTCACTGACTATGGTGCAGGTCTGAGACACTGTTTGGGAGTTACCCTGCCCAGCCGTCATTAGCAGCAGTACAATCATAATAAAGTTGAATTTAAACTGAACACTTTGCATTGCAGGTTCTGCCTGAAAGGGAGAAGATAATTAGTTCCATTGCCAGCGTACAGTTAGCAATTCTGACAGAGGTATTATTGCAGAGAATTGACATTTGGAGCAGAAATGCTGCAAATACAAACTCATACCACCATGACAACTTATAAAAGCTGAAGTGCTTGTGGTGGGTGGATTAACTCTTGGTATGAATGTACATGAGATTGCTACATTTACTTGTCTTATTTGTATATAACACAAAATCACAATTGATTACGTTAGCTCAATTAGCTCCATTATGGAGGCACCATGAATTTCTGAACCAAGATAAAGTATAGGAATTTCACTCAGTCAACAGTTTTCTCAGCTGATTGATCTTCTTAGCTGCATCATCATACATATCAAATATGCTATTGGAAAGTCTACAATTATAATTAAAGGGACACTGTAAGCACCCAGACCACTTCAGCTCATTGAAGTAGTCTGGGCACAATGTATCATGTCCCTTAACCCTGTAATAGTAATTTCTAAGAAACTGCAATAATTACCTTGCAGGGCTACAAGAGGGACTTCCAGAAATGAAACTGACCTTTGGTCCATTATCTGACACTGGATGTCCTCACGCTATGCATGAGGCCCTCCATCGTCAGATTCTCCCCAGAGGAAAGCATTGAACAATACTATCCTATGGGGAAATCTGAATGCGAATGCTGCTATAGCCGCGCATGCGTATTAGGTCTCCCTTGCCGGCTGATGCCAGCAGGGGAGGAGGGTGGGCGGATTTGTTTTCCTGGCACTATAAAATCCCTTTATGCCTTCTCCACCCAAAGTTTAAAGCATCAAAACTACTTGCTTCTTAAATAGATTTCTCAGTTCTAACCTTTCCTCTAACTCTCTCTATCTAGCCTACAGTTCATGTCTTTGACCCTTGGCACAGGTTCCTGCTCACCATTTTGATGACATTCAGGGAATTTTGTGGAAATTCTTTGAGACATTCAGAACATACATAAGGTGCATCTAGGGTCACTTTGGATCAATCCAGAAAAAAACCCTACAAAGGTGTTAGCTGTGACTAATTTGCTGGATGTCAAATTTAGTTGATTTCTGCATATTTTGGATCTAAACCCCACATAATATTACTTCTACAGTAATTTCATGAACATGTTTTACTTTAAAGTATTATTCCAGATTTTGGCAATAATTTTCTGCTTACCATAGTCCTTCTTGCAGTATTTCCGTAGATTCATATGCACACGGCTATCGGATGGCTTGCAATATGACTGACACTCGGTACCTGTTGATAATTTAAAGAATATATTTCAATTACTATTATAAGCAATGCTGAAATTATTTTTTTAGACTGAATATGAAGTATCACATTTAATATACCTGCTTTCCATTCTACAGGATATGCTGCAGTGGTTGTCATCTCTTCCTGTATACCTAAAAGTGTTAGACAAAGAAGCTATTTAATTTTAATATTAAATTTTTTTTACATCATTATGCTCCCAGGTTAATGCACAATGCAACCTACTTGTCACAGTAAATTGTTATTGAAATATTCTTAAAAGTAAGTCTTCTGTGTGATTATTAGTACTTTTCCAATAACTGACTTGATTAGGATTACTTGGCATGTGAATGAGTATAGAACATTATATAAATATATTCAGGCCAATACAAACCATTGTGTTGAAATCTATTCACAAACCGGACTTTACATAGGACACAAGGTCATGCGTTTAGACTGGAAGAAAGAAGATTTCGTCTAAGGCAAAGGAAAGGATGTGGAATTCTCTGCCTGAAGAAGTGGTTTTATCAGAGTCCATACAGATGTTCAAACAGCTACTAGATGCATACTTGCAAAAACAGAATATTCATGGATAAAAGCTTTCAATGTAGGGTAATAACTGCTTGATCCAAGGATAAATCTCACTGCCATTCTGGGGTCAAGAAGGAATTTTTTTCCTAGCTTGTTGCAAAATTGGAAGTGTTTCAAACTGGGTCTATTTGCTTTCTTTTGGATCAACAGCAGAAAACAAATGTGAGGAAGGCTGAACATGATGGATGCAAGTTTCTGCAAATTAAATTCTCTGGTATATCTGTCCGGCTGTTATTATTATTATCGCCATTTATATAGCACCAACAGATTTCATAGCTCTTTACAATATTATGAGAGGGGGGATGTAACTATAAATAGGACAATTACAAGAAAACTTACAGGAACAATAGGTTGACGTGGACCCTGCTCAAACAAGCTTACAGTCTATAGGAGGTGGGGTATAAGACACATTATGACAGGAAATATCAAATAGGGTGGGAGTGAAGCAGTGCTGGAGGAGAGAGTAAAGCACTGCCCTATAGGAGAGAGCAAGGTAGAGGTTACTCTGGGAGGCAATAAGCTTTTCTAAAGAGAGGCACTTCTTAAATAATTGAAGACTAGGGGAGAGTCTGATGGGGGCAGGCAGGCTATTCCATAGGAAAGGAGCCGCCTGCGAGAAGTTCTGCAAGCGCAAGTTGGCAATATGGGTGCGAGCAGCAGTCAGGAGGTGGTCATGGGCAAAGCGGAGGGAATGAGAAGAGGCATACCTTTGGATCTGTGAAGAGATATAAGAGGGGCTAGAATTGTTCAGTGCTTTAAACGTATAGGTTAGTACTTTGAATTGACTCCTATAGGATACAGGGAGCCAATGTAGGGACTGAGGGGTGAGGTGTGAGAGGACCGACTAGAGAGGAAAATAAGTCTGGCGGATTCATTACAGACTGTAGCGGGGCAATACGGTTTTTGGGGAGACCAATCAGGAGAGGGTTACAATAATCCATCTGGGAAATTACTAGAGCATGGACAAGCTCCTTGGTAGAATATTGTGTAAGAAAGGGGCAGATGCAGGCTATGTTTTTAAGTTGTTATCTACAGGATTTGGCAACGAACTGGATGTGAGGCTCAAAGGTGAGGCCAGAGTCAAGTATGACGTCAAGACAGCGTGTTTGCAAGGATGGGCTTATGTGAATATCACTGACTTGAAGGGAGAGCGAGAGAGGAGGATCAATATTAGGAGGAGGAAAGACAAGAAGTTCAGTTTTAGAGAGATTGAGTTTCAGAAAACACAAGGGCATCCAGTCAGAGATGGAAGAAAGGCAAGCAGGGACACGTTGCAAGACAGCAGGGGAGAGGTCTGGGGAGGAGAGGTATATCTGAGTGTCATTAGCATACAGGTGGTAGTGGAATCCAAAAGAGGCAATAAGTTTGCCAAGAGAGGCAGTATAAAGAGAAAATAGACAGAGCCTTGGGGAACTCCAACTGAGACAGGACGAGGGTAGGAGGAATTCTTGGAAAAGGAGACACTGAATGAGCGTTGGGAGAGATAAGAGGAAAACCATGAGAGGACAGAGTCACAGAGACCGAGCGATTGAAGAGTTTGAAGGAGGAGAGCATGATCAAGAGTGTTAAGACCTTTGGATTTAGCTGCGATTAGGTCATTAGTAACTTTAACAAGAGCAATCTCAGTAGAGTGGAGAGGGCGGAAGCCAGACTGAAGAGGGTCAAGGAGAGAATTAGAATTGAGGAAGCGAGACACACGGGTAAAGACAAGTCTTTCCAAAAGCTTTGATGAAAAAGGGAGCAGGGATATAGGACGATAGTTAGAGGGGGAGGATGGGTCAAGAGATGTTTTTTTCAGGATAGGTACTAGTGGCATGTTTAAGGTCAGCAGGAACAGTGCCAGAAGAGAGAGAGCAGTTGAAGATGTGTGTTAGGGAAGGCACAAGACAAGGGGAGAGAGATCTGATGAGATGAGATGGGACAGGATCAAGTGGGCAAGTGGTGGGGCGAGAGGAATGGAGAAGCGCAGCCACCTCTTGTTCTGTAGCCAGGGAGAAAGTCTGAAGGGTAGGAAAGGCATGATTTACGTGTGGTGGGGAAAGAGAACGGCAAGGCGGGGATAATTCTTTCCTTAGCTGTTCAATCTTGTCGGTAAAGTAGCATGCAAAACTATCAGAGAGAGGAAATGGAGTGTTACAGATATAAGATACTGTACATGAATAGGAGAAAATAAGGTCGAGGGTATTGCCAGCTACATGGGTGAGAGAATTAGCCCACTGCAATAGCCCGAGGGAGGAAGTAATTGAAAGTAGTTTAGAGGCTTCTGAGGTCAAAGGTGAGTTAATAGGAATATTGAAGTCTCCAAGAATTAGGGATGGAATGTTAGAAGAGAGGAAGTAGGATTGCCAGGCAGCAAAGTGGTCAAGGAAGAGGAGAGGGGAGCCAGGAGGACGATAGATAACGGCAATGTTAGCAGAGAAGAGTTTGAAAATGCGAATTCAATGAATTTCAAATGATGGGAAAGAGAGGGAAGGGGGGGTGGGCAGAGTTTTAAAAGAGCAGTGGGGTGAAAGGAGAAAACCTATACTGCCACCTTTACTTTATGAATTATAGTATATTATATTTGTGGTCAGAACTTAAGAGTATATGTACTACTGTAAGTGGTGAGTGTTGTGCCAAAACCAACATATGGATAGGCCTGTAATAAAAGAGGGCCTACCAAGGATAATGTAATAATAAGGTAGTGAGGTGAGTAGGGGAATTGCATTTATATAGTGAAAACTCCTCTCGCAAATGTAGGCCTTTGGCCTTATACTTGTGGTCGGAACTTAATAGTATATGTAATAGTGTAAGAGGTGAAAGTTGGTAGTGTTGTGCCAAAAAAAAAACACATGGGTAGGCCTGTAATAAAAGAGGGCAAAAGATATTGATGAAAAAACACACTTTATAGCATACATATAAAGCTAAACATTTTATTGCTTTCCTGAGCTCTTTCTTGGGCTGCAGAATGTAAGTATTGTAGACAGAGGATTTCCATCTACCCAATACTTTTAATAATATGGACTGGTGTGTCCGTACTAGAGGCCGAGGAGGCGGCCCCTACCCTGAAGGAATGTCCAGAAAAGTAAGAGGGGTGAACACATCCCGGGAATAGATAACTCTTTGCAACAAGTTTCTAATGTAAAATATAGACTTGAGGAGGTAAGTGGATGTCCGTAAAAAAGTGGTGGGTAGCTGCTGCGTGTGAGTAGAAATGAATCTAGAATTTTAACAGGGCACCAGTTGTTGTCTGTTGAAAAAAAAAAGGGATTGTAGAAGGATGGTTAGTCTGGTTCATTTTCGAAGTTTGCAATGAGAGAATGTAATAGTTTTTTTAGTATAGTTTTGATGGGGTATGAAGAAAGAAAAGGGGGGTGATTAGGAAACGTGTTGAGGATGTGATAGTGTTTGCTTGTAAGATATAATTTGATGGTGTCATGTGCTATTTTTAGATGTAGATGACAAAGTGTCAAAAGCCACCATGGTCTCGATAGAGTAATTTTCTTGTATGCACAATTTCATCATAAATTTACAAAAATGGTTAATGCCCTATTGTATGCTGTCTTGGTGCTTGTTGAAAGAGCATTACGTGATATTGACTCCTCAATTCCATCAATCCATAATTAGCTCTGGGAATGATGGGATTCTAGATGGGTGTTCGTTGGCGGAGGGATGTAACTTGAAAAATTCCTGAAAATAAGATGGGGTTAATGCGTCAGCTGTAGTGTTATCTATTCCCGGGATGTGTTCACATTCCAAGAAAAATTTTAATTTTGTGGCAAGCCATGTCGATTTTCAGACCAACTGCATGATGGTCAAAGAGAAGGAACGCCCTTTATTGACTATATTGGATGCCACCAAATTATCCATAAAACACTTAACTGCCTTGCCGGACCATAGATGACCCCAAGTATGGGCCGCAATTGGGATAGGGTAAATTTGAAATAAGGCAGAGGTTTCTCTAAAGGCCAGCAAGGTAATTGTGTCCTTAGGCCAATCATCCCTAAACCAGTGGTTACCGAATATGGCAGCAAAACTGGTGTGAGCCGCTGCGTCAGTAAATTTACATTGGATTGTTCGGACAGTGGGGGAATTAACATGGAGATACCACTCCACATGAGCAAATCGGCCTTAGCTCGGGGGACGAGGACTATGGTGCCGTTATCAGGCAGAGTAACCTGGAGATAAATTATCTACCCTGGAGAATGATTAACATAGTGAAATTGAGGGATCCCAGTAAAGACTGAAGATTCCGCCTCTTACATTAACCATTTTGAAGGAATAGATCCAACTCTTCCCTGATGCATTGCAATTTCTCATCAGGGAGGCATGCCTGCATCAACACAGTGTCTAGTGAGATAACCAGGAAAACCAAGTTTGTTGTGGGGCCTAAAGTATTTTCGCGGGCCAGAGGAATGCCTAGTGTTGAAAAAAGAGCTGTAATGCTAAGCATGCTGCGTGGTGTGTGGGAGCCTGCTTCAACCAACAGGAAGTTGACCAAGTAGTGTATTACCATGGGACACCTGACAATGTTCAGGAGCAGAGAGTTCTGCAAAGATGTCGAACAACTT